TCCCATTTAAAGGCTTTGAAACACAAGAGATAAGTCGAAAAATATGTCCTGAAAATACAAACAGAAGTAGAAAGAGTATGTAAACATTATTGAGTGTTGACTAAAGAAGTGAACAGCTGATCTAGAACCTGCAGCCAAAACAAAGAAGCAAGACGCTGGATGGACACGATGTGATGTCTTAACTTGGTGGGCATCTCACTCAAAGCATAACATTTAAATTATCTCATGAGCTTTTAGACTTTAGCAACATCTCCAGATGGTAATAATTAGAGGATTACATTCAAAGCTTGACTATGAGGCCTCCAGTGATCTGATGAATGAAATATTAACAAGACACCCCAGTGACAGTGACGGTCTCCTCCCGGCCACCCCTATTCAACTGTCTGGTTCCGCCTCTGCAATCACACCTTCCTAACACCCCAGCACCTGGTAATTAACAAGGAACCGACACTGACTCGTATCGGTTTCGTAGCAGAGAAAGGCTCGTAGATAAAGACAGACGACCGGTGTGTGGACGAACCTGTGGCTCCGTCCTGGATGCAGGTGTAGCTGGAAGCCGCCATGACGAGGCTCAGACGGTCAAACACATCGTATCCATGTTGTTAAAGCGGTGTTAGAGGGACAGCGACGGGACGCTCCGTGTCGCAGCGCATCGATGACACAGAGGTAAACACATCAGCACTTCCTGGTCGCCCACACGTGACGTCATCACGTGACCGACGTCCCGTTTGCGCCGCTGCTTGAAAAACAAAAGCTGTTGTCAAGCATTTTTTTTTTTGCTTTTTTTTAATGTGGAGCAATTGTTGAGATCCTTCACGAGTTTATTATGACATGACACGTGTTATATTTTATGACAGTTTTTATTTACAGATGAGTAAACACAATAACAACCAACAACACATTACAGCATTATGAGCAATATACACATGAGAACTGTCATGGTCCTTTAGAAAGAAAAAAAAAGTACTGATTTACATTTTTGTCTAGATGAGAAAATATCACTTATATCTGTTTATGAACCAAGATAAGCCCCAGACAGCTAGGTTAGCTTAGCATAGAGACTGGAAAGAGAGGGAAACCGTTAGCCTAGCTGGCACACATTTCTAATGGAGTTATTATTATCCATCCATCCATCATCTATACATCTTAATCCTCACTAGGGTCATGGGGGGCTGGAGTCTATCCCAGCTGACTCAGGGTGAAGGCAGGTTCACCTGGACAGGTAACCAGTCTATCACAGGGCTACACTTAGAGACAGACAACCAAGCACACTCACATTCACACCTACAGACAATTTAGAATCACCAATTAACCTCAACATGTTTATGGAGGAAAAGTGAAGGTGGAAAAGTGAAAAAAGACTTTAAAAGGCCTTTTAGAATTTCATGTTCGTGAACCAAACAATGTACAACGATCTGATGACGCTGAGGTTGTGAATTTTCATCTTTCCTTGACTAGTGGAGGAAGACTCAGATCTGTTACTTCAATAAAAGTAGCAATTTAAAGACACCTGGGTACAAGTACGAGTCCTTCATTCAAACCTTGCTTAAGTTAAAATATCTAAGTATATTCATCAAACTATCATTAAGTGTAAAAATGTTTATTACGAACCCAAATGGGCTCCATCAGTGTTCTATCTTTATACTACTGGATTACTTTCACTAATGGATTAACGTCCAAATAGTATTTAAATACATAAATTACTGAGGTAGAGGATATGAACTCATCTTATATGCTGTCAGGTGGCTGGCAGGTGGTCCCAATCTGCTGTCAAGTACATAAACTGTGAAAGTAGTGCAGTTGAAAGTAGCACAAAATTTAAATACTTAGCTGAAGTATTTTAGAAAGTATTTGAGTAAATCTACCTCATCACATTCCAATGTAATCATGGGTTTAACTTGGTTAACTCTAAACATAACAATGTCTGATAACCCCTGCTATAGTCTTAATATGAAAAGTTAACCCCTGGAACTCCGTCGATTTTTACACAAAGAATGTTGAATGGGATTCTGTTCTAAGTTAGAGGAACTAGTAGGACAGAGACGAGCCTGAACTCTTTACCTCTGGTTATTATAAGCATAATGGGACATTTTTGCACCAGCCAGGTCGGATACTCGTCCCGTTTCCAGTCTACACACTAAGCTAACAGGCTCTACGTGTCCTATACAGACAGAACATCAACCTTCTCATCGTTCTGCATGTTTTGAGAAATGAAAATAAAAAATAGCCGCATTTCAAACAGATTTTCTTTTGCATATTATTTATTTTGTGAACTGTCGACTTCTGCTCTGTACATTTTCTTGCCGAATGTTTCAAATCAAATCCTGGCAGTGAAATGCTGAAGTCATATTTTCCGTTGCCTTAAAAGCAGTCATATGTTCCAAAACATGCTCCGAGAATGTAAACTGCCTCGTGTTACTAGACACCTCAGATTTACACATGAAGAAAAAATAAAAAGAAGTATAAGAAAACAACCTCAGAGTCCTCAGCGATAGCCGAGGCCCAGATTATGACGTTATCTTACTGAGATGAAAGCTGAGATTGAACTGGAATGAAACAGAAAAAATGGAAAATAAAACATTTTGCAGCTCAAAAGATATCATGAGACTATTTTTAATGAACATCATCAAAAAGGAAGGATGTGTGACTTTGTTGGCCACCATGTAGTAGGTTGTTGTTCAGTTTAACTTTTAACTTTATTTGATTTATATCATTAAATAATTGGACCATATTTCAATCATTATTTAGTCTATAAAGAGCCCAAAATGTTGTTTAATTAAAATATGGTGACTAAGGTGGGCCGAAACATCTGAGATTCACTCATGGAACCAGCTGAATGTTGAGGTGGAAATCTTTTATCTGTGATGTAACCAAAAAACTGCAAAGTGATCGAAACAAATTCATGCGACTCCATGAGGTATAACAAGTGAGAGATGATCCACAAAACCAAATAGCTGCATCTGTTCTGCTCTACATGTGGCTCAGTGCGGCGCAGTCATTCATCCACAAAGTCATCTCATCAGTTATCACGAGGAAAATCAGCCACCCACACCTCAGGAACAAACACCAGCCGGGGCTTTGGCGATTCGTCCTCATCCGTTATCGGCTGAGATAACCATTCATCCCCCTCAGTCCTTCTTATCTGCCATCCAAAGCCTTGTCCCTGGCTATGACTGACTCGTTAAACTTGATCATCAGAGTGGTGCCTTTGTGCCAGTGAGCAGTGACCTTAGCGGGGAAGCCGCTGTGAGTGAGGATGGCCTCCACGATGCCCGCCGTGAAGGCGGCACAGTTCAAGCTGCTGTTCTCCTTCGGCACAGAGATGTACGCGTTGATAAGCGGCTCTTTCTCTATGATGTAATAGGTCTTGTCGTCGTCGTTGGCCTGCTCCAGCTTGTCCGCCTCCTTCCCGAACAAAGACTTCCACACATTGACCTGAAAGAAAGACAACTGTTAACTGGAGGTTCAAAAATAATAATAAAAAAAACGTTACTAAATCCTGGAACTACTTTCGCTCTTGCTGACCTTGATGAAGAGCAGCATGTTCAGCACTTTGGTCTCCCTCTTCCCGTTCTTCTCCCTCAGCACCAGCACATCCAGCATGCTGGCTCCCACGCTCTGGCCCATGTCTGCCAGCCGGGTCTGCAGCTCGGACACGGAGTACACTCGGCTCTGGCAGTACTGGACCATCTCAGAGAACAGCAAGGCGAAGGCGCTCACGCTGACCTCCGTCTTGGGTCGGGTCAGAGGCCGCTCCAAGATGTTGGATTTCCCTCGAGTGAACCTCGTGTCCATTTTCTGTTGGAGAGCGGTGACAGTCACAGGAAAAGGGTTTGAGTGATCTGAGATATTTGGTTGAAAGTAACAGATAAACACATAATTACCTACAACTGGTGAGAAAGCAGATGAAATAGATAAAAGCAATACATGTGAGGGGAGTATACTTCTGTGTGGCATCATCTGAGATCAAATGATTCAAAACTACATCACCTTGAAGGAACTGAATTACTTCTAAGTTGAAGAGTAAAGTATTTGCTCTGCTGTAGAAACTATCAGTTTAGATTAACATTAAAAATACAGAACTCACAGTAGGACCTCAATGCAAGCTTTATTTTTGAGATTTAAATCTATAATTTTTTCCCAATACGTCGTATGTCCATGTTTGTTTTGATGACAGACTCAGTCCCTCTCAGCTTGGAGGATACCAGTGTTGTGTACATTTCCTGGGACGTGTTCTGCCCTTCCATAGAAACATTTTTTTCCCCAACTACTCTCTCTGTGGGGTTGTGTTGCTCTGACTTTCTCTTTAAAACACAAACCAAAAGTGTTCTACTGGTTTCCAGTCAGGCGACATACTTATCCAGGTATTATTTTTCACCTTGTTCCTGTTTAGAAACTTCTGTGATTACATCAGTGTGCTTTGGATGGTTATCCTGCTGGAATATTCCTTATCTGCAGACTGGAAGTCAGCCAGTATTTTGGCTTATCCACAGACATTCACAGTCCATCTACATGTCATCTCCCAAACACCTTTTTCACTCATGCAGCCCCAGATTATCACACTCCCACCTCCATGCTTCACTGTCAGGACTTTGCCTTCACTGTGGTAAAACTTGTTTGACTCCATTTGAGCCAAACAAATTGGTTTTTGTCACATCGAATAAAAGAATGTGCTCCCAGCATTCGTCATGCATCTTTTTATTTTCTTTAACAAGAATTTTCTTCTGAGCAGCAAGCGGGGGTATGTTTCCTGGATGCCGTCCATGGAGGCTGACAGTATGCACTTCTCACTGTCTGAGCTGTCTAACTCCAAGTCTGAAGTACTTGCTCATCTGTTATTCAGAGCCATATTGTGCAAATCGCACACCGTCTGTGCAGCTCTGGGTTACCGATCTTCCTGTATCCACTGTAGTATCTGACATACTACCCCCACAAGTTTGGAACATTTTGACAAAGTGAACAGGTCAAAGGTTACTGAAGGAAGTTGTCTCATAGCCTAGATGTTAGGAGGTTACCCATATGGTTTGAGTTATTGGTTCTTAATTCGACAAAAACAACTCCCCTATATAAGTCAGTGGTTCTGTTTATTCTGGAGGGTGATTCTTTTTGGCTTTGAATCCTCTCACGGACTTTTTTCTATATCAACAAGACGGTATCAACGGAGAACTTCTTCAGTATCTTCACATCATCGCTACACAACAAAACACCACCACCTTTGTCAAATCTCACATTCTCATTTTTAACTTCGTCTGGGAGCTCTTTTCCACGTGGAGTCATAATGGAGACATGCAGATGGACACAGACAGTAGGTCCAAAACTGAAAAAATCCTGATGCTCACAGCTCATTTTAGAACTATATTCTTGCAGTTAAGCTCGCTGACATCACAGGTGTAAGTTTTGTGTCAGTGGTTACAGCTGTATTCACTTTTGCTGCATGAAGTTTCTTTGGAGTTGTATTTGAATTATAATCTATGACAGAAAAAGTATTTGCTTTTGGATTGTTCAAAAGAGGAAATACTGGATTGTTCAACGTCGATATAACATTGCAGTTATTGAGAGGTGATGCAATGAAGAATCATGTGAAATGTAAGTGACATCGCACAGGGCTGTACTCACTAATGCTGTGAGTAATGGATAAACTATTTAAAGGTCCATCTTGTGCCACAACAAGTGGTAGAAATACAAACCTAACCAGCTGATTATTCCTGTTAAATGATTTGAGCTGAACACACCTGCAGCTCATCCATCCGCCCACAACAACCCAACACACCCTACAGCTGGAATCACGTGATTACTTTAACATACAGCTACGAGAACACATGAAGGATACAAACTGGCGCTTATTCAGCTTCTATTTAATATTTAAAACCTTATTTTAAACACAGACTATGAAATTCTAGCATATTTGAGGCTGTTTAGTAAACAACAGGCTCGAATTAGCCTCTTCTTCCACCGTCAATATTGAGATATTTATTAATTCTAAGCGTAACAACACTCAATAGAAGCAAATCAGACATCATGTGAACTTTTAACAAGAACAAAGAGGCTGCTAAATGCTTGTGTGTTTCTGTTTCCTGTTCAAACCCAACAAACAGCTGATCGCAACTCGCTGCTAGCTAACTAGCTACCAATGCTAGCTGCTACATCCGGGACAGATAACCGTATTGGCGCTATTCAAGCAGTGAAAACACACACTTGTACTAACCAGGAACTGACAGCATTTGGTTAAAAATGTCCTGCTTTCATTAAGCAAAGTGTTTGACAGATAAACGCACCTTGTTGGCGTTAAACCGGCTGCTGCTCAGGTTCTGCTTCTTCTTCCTCTGTTGATGTCATTTGGGGCGGACTAAGCGCAGCAGCGGCGTGTTGCTGCCCCCCGCAGGCCGTGAGCGGAACTACACCGATACGGTTAAACGCAGGACAGTGGAGAGACTGAATCAGTTGTTGCTGCTTTAGGATGTTCCACGTTGGGTATTGATTTAAAAAGATGACCCGTGACTCCAGTTTCTGACAGCTCTGCTCGCACGAGTCCTCTGCCTGTGTGATGGCTTTTATTTTTTGAATCAGAGCATGATTCACAGTTTCTCCACAGATGTTTTTTTTCCATCAGGCTGCTTGCCAACCACTGCCAGCTCGTGATTCAGTGACCACAGTGCTCCACTTTTCTGTCCTTTCAGTGCCCTTAGTGCTGCAGTATAATCTGAGCATATAATTATCTTTTCTGGTTTGATTTCAGTCATCAGGCGCTCACAGGCCACTAGCTCTGCAGTGAAACACTGATCCATGATTGGACAGCCACTTTCCATGTCGTATAAGTAGGTTTAGAGTACTGAAGTCATCTCACGGGATCGCGTGTATCCTCCTTTTGGATTTGCTCTCGTATGGAAACATCAGGTGGTCACCACACGTGTGGGATTTATCAGGCTTTCCTTTCTTAACTAGCTTGCTCCTTCTCAGCATAAATGTAGTAGTAACATGTAGTTACTCCCTTTCCAATTCACAGAACTTTAATGTATGTTGTTGTGAATGTCTCGCTACATGTTCTCAGTGCTTTGGCCTTTAGAACAGAAGGAGCTTCTGTTCAATACACCTCACACCCATAATCAAGCACAGGTCTTATATTTTACCTATATCATCATCACTGTTCCCATTCATTTCCTACCAGACGTCACATGATGCTGATGACTGTCTTCTCTACATACACCCGCTTTTCAAAGCAGATGTCCAGAAATTTGAATGTTTTTATTTTGAATATGCTTATTCCAAACCTTGGGGTGCTTTCTTTGCAAAAAAACCCCCCAAAAAACAAAACAGATCACATGCTTTCACTGTGTAACTGAAATGTTAAAATCAAACACCTGCCAGATATTTGGCAGCACATTGCTTCCCATCACTGGTATTTAAAAGGGCTTGTAAATTACAGCTTTTAATCTGCCTAAGTGAGTGTATGAAAACAAACTTTTCTTTCCTTCCTTGATCTTTACATGTCATTTTTTATTTGTAAAAAAACTTTGTATCCACGCAAGCATCTGACAGTCACCTTCCCCCCTCAGATTTACAGGCTGATAAGGAAAAGCAGACATTTAGCTGCTCATCGAGAATTTTATAACCAGCAAGAAGTTCAATAAAGCAATAATCAGTGTGTCATTAGTGATACTGTGTTTGACAGTATCACTAATGACGCAAATATCCCCTTTAGTTTCCCTCCATAATGTTCCTGCTACTCATGAGCTAACATCAGAAATATTTTATTTTGTTCTCAGTTTATTACCACAAACACCACCTTACATTCCTTGTTCCTCCATCTAAAAGGTCAAATAGATTACCGGCAGTTCATTTTTGACCACTGTTATCTGCATCCCAGGCCTTCTGCAGCGTATTTTCCAGAGACAACATCAACTTCCTCTTCCTGTCATCGTGCAGGTTCTGTGACTTTCGCTGTGAACAGTTTGTGCACATATTTCAGCAACATCTATGTCATTTTCATTCAGTTTAATCCGACATATTTTCCTGTCAGTGCTGCAGAGAACACGTGTGAGTCATGGTTTTGGGATTTCCTCAGTTTTGTAGCCCGTATATGAATGAATGATGCTGTTAAAATTCAGAACATGCTGATTGCCTCAGAGAGGATTGCCAGTGATGTGCTCAGCAGTGATCAGAGATTATTCTCTGAATATTTGTTTCACAAGCGGTGGTTGCAGAAACGTGATGACTGACACTTTTTTTATTTTTTTGCAGAACTTGTGAATTTTTTGAAAATGTCCAAGTCGGACATCGGCGCCGTGCACAGGAAGGACCTCGAGCAGTGAGGACAACCCACTCAGGTGGCGCTTTCCCATGGCCTGCCGCACCAACTGATTAAACGTAGGCGTATCTACACATTGTGTGCAGATGTTGCATAACCACCCACTTATTGTGCACATAAATGCAAGGCAAACAACATGTTGCACACACTCGGAGTCGGGAGCTGAAGGTGTTCACGGCTCAGGATGGAGAACGGCTGCTGGAAACGGACCCTGACCTTTGCTTTGGTGCTGTTGGTCAGCACGCATGCAGAAGGTAACAGCGTTTGTTTATGATTTCAGCAGTTTTGTGATAGATCTGGAAACTGGATTGGCTTTGGTAGATGGAAAGTGTAGTTTTTTTTTTTGTTTGTTTGACTTTTACCCACAAATCTTTAGAAGATTGCTCTAATTCTGGACCTACTTGGCAAACAAATAGTCAGGTCCATATCTAAAACTGATAACACTGTAGAGTTTCAGCCATAATACTTCTATTAAGTAGGTTAAATTAGAACCCTGTAGTGTCTCGCTCTATTATTTTTACGAGCTACATTAAATTCTACCTCTATAGGGTTTCACTTTAATATAAATTCTACTCAACAAAAGGGACATTTTATATGATGTTTGTAGGTTTGATCCCTAACATGCAAATTGCTCAGATATAAATAGACTCTAAATAACATCACTGGGGCTTAACTGCGATGTTTTTAGTTGTGTTATGTTCCTTTGGTAACACTAATCCTTACCAGGAGCTCCTGCAGCGCAACAGCTGCTGTCGTAGATGTGCTATATGAAAACATTGTCGTGACTTGTCTCGACCTGACACGACTGTTTTCATCTTGTTTTTGTTGTCGGCGTGCGATCTTACACATTTGTTTTCTGATTTCACATCTGTTTTTATTGCAAATGTGTTTTCAAAAGGTGCCACACAAACAAAGTTGTTTTTCTTATTATTCAGGCATCATTTAGAGCAGAAATAAAAGCCTATATCCAACAAAACATCTGCGGCACAAAAATACACATCCTGTACATACGCGGCATCTGTTTCTGTTTTTAAACTGTCACGTCTGTACAAATAGTACAGCAGTAACTTCTTTATGAGGAGTTTAAATCAAATCTGCAGCCTAAAATCTGAGCGTTTTTCATCTGTCATTTCTCCACATGCTGCAATTTATTGATTTTCATCGGTTTCTCACCACACGATTGTTGTGACTAAAAGAATTCACAATGACGATATCGATCAAATTCATGTTTAACTGTGTTTCTTTGTCTCTTTCCGGCGATTGAATTACACACAAACTATGAGTGTTGAGGCGTGGTAGTAGCTGCTGCTGGATTATTTACTGTATTATCACATGTGTGTCATTAGACTGAAAGATGTTGGGAAACTATATAACAACTTCTGACACATATTACGATTTGATTCGTGGTCTAGATCTTTTATTTCATGTTTCAGTTCAATAGTCATATAGATTTGGAGCATCATCACATGACAAACCAGCAAAAGCGTGACTGTCCCACAAGGAGAATGGCATGAATTTCTAAAAGCTCTGATGCAGCAGTTTAAGTCCCGCGTCAGCTGAGCTTCATTATCCCTAATTGTAGCCTTTTGCAATTTGCTAAATGCATAATTTCACGCTACGATTGCATTTTTGAAATCAAAGAATCATTCATACCGCTCCAGCGTGGTCATAAAACACGATACCAATACTTCATTTGACCACAGCTATCATCAATACTGGCATATTGTGAAACTGGTCACTCTGACTTCCGCGGAAGGGATTTCTGTGGAACCATGTTTCATAACAACTTCAGTAGAATCATGATTCTTTGTAGGATTAAGGCAAATTAGTTCATAACAGTAGACTGCACCACAGAAATGACATAATTAAACATCAGAAACTAGCCCCAGTGTTAAAACTGAACATATCATTCCCAAAGTTAATGATCGTAAACAGGAAACAACTTCTGCAAAACACAGCGGAAGTCATTAAACTGTTCTATTGCTGCTGAAGCCGGTGAAGGAACAGTACATTTACTCAGGTGTGAGTTGGAGGTATTTCTAGTTGACTTGAGTCTTAAAACTTTTGTTTTCATGCCACTGTCTACTTCTACTAAACCTCTATAGGGTAAATATGGTACTTTTTATTCCATTACATTTATCTGACAGCTTTTCTGTGCACACAATACATTTGAATAACTACAGTTTACACAACTACAGCTGAAACAGTTAATCAGTTAATCAGTCAATCGACAGGAAATTGGCTACTGTTTTCAAGGCGATGGTGCTAACCACCGAGCCACCTAGCAGCTCCATTTCCAGCATGTTTTTAGGAATTCACTGTTCTAGAAATCAGGCTATCATTTATAAATGTCAAATCCCCCTCTGTAGAGATCTTTAGAGCAGAGATGGGAATAAACCTGGTGTGTATGGAAGCGCTACTGAAGTGGAGATTTTAAGTTTAGAGTAGAAGAAATAACTAATTTTGAGAAAACAGCCTTTAAATATATATAGTTCTTTGCACTTTTACAAAAAAAAAAGATAAAAAACTGGCGACCTTCTCGCTGTGAGGTGACGCTGCTAACCACTGAGCCACCTTGCAGCCCAGATAAGAATCAGCTCCACCTTAATTACCTACAACAATAAAATCTTGCTTTTACATTATTGCATTAGTAATAACAATAGAATGATATAATACACAACAATATCACAGTCACGGGGGCATTTTTAAGTATTTTTGCGTTTAACACTTTGAATACATTTTTGTTGTGATGTTTCTAAACTTTTATTAATGTTTTAATGCAGAACTTCTACTTGTACTAAATTAATTTTACAGTGTTTTGTCAGTACATTGACTAAAGGATGTGAATAGTTCATCCACCAGTGACTAACTCAAGCTAATGTTACGTCACCTATCAGCAGGCTAACTACCATTAGCCAGTTCAAGGTTCAAGGAGTCTTTATTATCCACGTGGGGTAATTTGCTCTGCAGCTATGCAGCAGTAAAGACAATCAATCCATGCAACAATCACACAGAAACAACAATAAATACCAAACAGACAAGAATAATGAAAGTGAAAGTAGAGCTACTTGTTCAGCAGAGGAGGGACAAAAGAACGTCTGTTAGTCCTGCATTTTGGCCGGATGTACCTGCACCCTGATGGAAGCAGCAGGAACCCACAAACCAACGGGCGGCTCTGATCTGTTCTACCTATATTGAAACACTCTGAACCACTGGTGGCAATACGTATGTGATCATTTTTCCACAACTAAAATGCTCCAGATACTTAGCTTCACTATTCGCCTCACTATTATATTCCAGGTGATGCCAGTGTATAAAATTAACCCATGATGAGGCTGAAGACATGGGTTCTAGTCTCAGTGACAAAACATTTCTGTTTGTCTCCAGCTTCAGTCTCCAGGCGCATGGAAGACTTCATCAAAGCAGTGCAGCAGGTGGAAGACGAGGACCCTGGGTCGGAGCCAGTAGCTGTGCTGAGGAGGCTGCGCAGGGCGGCCGGCCTTAATGATGCATTCATCCAGCACTACCTTGCAAACGCCGACTCCAGCGGTCCTGAACTGAATGCCAACCTCTCCGATTACATCAGCGCCGTCGTTCATCACAGAGTGACCGAGGACGGCAGAGAAGAAGGAGTGGTTCTGACTCCTGATGGGACCACCGTGGCCCTCAGGCAGCTCCTCCTGGGCATCGAGGCTGGTCTCCTCTCCAAAACTGAGGGCCGTGTTCGAGGTCTCTACCAGCTCACTCTGGCCAAAGATCTCGGCCTGTCTCTCCGCTCTTCTCTACCACAGCGCCTCGGGCCAGATGGCTGCTGGGACAATGTGACCTCTCCTCAAGTGTTCACCCTCTCAGACAGCCCCTCTCTGCTCACCACCGCCCAGGTCAACGGGGGGATGGACGGCGTGGTGTTGGGGGTGTCGGTCTCCGCCAAATCCAGACGACCCCTCAAGCTCAGCAGTCTGCTGACAGAGTACTACTGCCACCAACTGGACAGCAGAGGGCTGGACGCCGCCCCACGCCTCATCAGCCGACGCCGCAGGGAGAACTTCAAAACGCTGGTCCTGCCTCCAGTGTTGGTTCGACAGGTGGGGAAATCAGTGGAGCTGCAGGAGAGACTGACCGGACGCTCCGAGATGGAGGCCAAGACGAAAAAGCAGCTGATGGCCGTGGTGAAGGAGGGAATGAAGGAGTTTGTCCATATGTACATGGGTGAGCACGAGACCAAACCGCAGAGGAAGTGAAAGAAGTCAAAATTCCAATAATCTGATTACTTCATTTCAAATTACACGCAGCATGATCACACGTTACTGTGTTTCAGATTGTCCACCCATCGTCAGTCGCTGCATGTGGGAAGCCAAACCGTACAAAGGAACGCCCACCAAACTGTCTCTGCCTCTGTCCTACTTGTTCATTCACCACACGAGCACACCGAGCCAGCCCTGTCTCACCTTCGAGCAGTGCTCTGAGGACATGCGCTCCATGCAGCGCTTCCACCAGGAAGACAGAGGCTGGGATGACATAGGATACAGGTAGAAAACAAAAAGCTGTTAGCACATGTCAAAATTTGTGATGAAAAATCTCTACAACTTCTAAGATCCTCTGTGCTTCTAAAAGCTTTGTGGCAGGCTCTGATGGAAACATCTACGAGGGCCGAGGGTGGCACTGGCAAGGAGCCCACACCTTCGGACACAACGCCGTGGGCTACGGAGTCTCCTTCATTGGCGACTACATGAGCAGGTTGCCCTCTCAGCAGTCCATGACGCTGGTCAGAGATCAGCTGGCGTCCTGCGCTGTCGGCGGTGGGCGGCTGGTGGCTGATTTCATCCTGCAGGGGCACAGGCAGGTGGTGAGCACCGATTGTCCTGGAGACGCCTTCTATGCCGAGATCAAAACCTGGGAACACTTCAGGGTACGTAGAAGCACTGGTGTATCAGCAGGTGTTGTGTGGGCATAAACCTGGTCTGCTGAGCTCTGATAGGAAAATTAAACTTAAATATGCTAAAAAAAACAATACAATGGATTCAAGAAATATCCAGATCCCTTCTTGTTTCACATCCTTTAACTTGCCATTGTATCCCAAGCCATATGCACTGTTAACAGTACATATTTGACGACTGTCTTTCTTCACTATTTGACATTTTGGACATTAAATCCAGACTCTGTACGGGACAAATAACACCAATCAAATGCACTGCTCTAAGTGGCAAAGTCTGAACTTATACATAAGACTTTAGTGACCCTGTGACCCTTCCATTAGCATTTCCATTGGGTTGCCATTTTTGTTTGTCTCTGAAAGTTCTTATGAGAAGGGTTGCTGGGAAATTTGTGCAACACACTGATAATCCTTGTGGAGGCCTAACAGTTGGTCATCCAGCCCCACTGAGGAACTGAGGAAGACGAGTCAGGGAGAAGACCAACGAGCCAACACCTAAGAGAACCTCAGAAGGTCTCTAGATCTTAGCAGGTCTCCATCAATCAGACATTTATGGTACAGCTCCACAGAAGCCACTCTGATAAAAGGCAGCCTGCTTGGAGTTGAGAAAAGTCTGATGATGACAGAATAAGAAAAAGGAATTATCTGGTCTCTAAGAAGAAATAAAAAGCCTTTGGGCCAAGCACTACATCTAACAAACACCCGGCACTGCTCATCACCTGATAATACTGTTCCTACAGTGAAGCACGGCGGTGGCAGCATCATGCCATAGCAGCAGGAACAGAGAGATAAAGATGATGAAAATGAAGGGATGGATGACTGCAGCGTCAAATACAGAGTGGACCTCTCAACCTGACAGTAGATCAGTGGTTCAATGGCAAGTCCTTGATTGCCTTAAGAGAGACCTGAAGAGGGCAGTTCACAAACACCTTCCATTGAATGTAAGAATAAACTGCTCACATTCAGATGTGTAAAGTCTGTAAGGACAAGAACCCCCAGAGCTGTACCGTCTGCCAAAATGGCTTCAACAAAGTCCTGATGTAGGCTTTTAGAAATGAGACGTTTCATTCTGGGTTACTGAGTGTCGATTGATGGACAACTTCATGCAACTCTACAACACAGCGTCCAAAAAGAGGTCTGGATACTTTCTGAATCCACTATAAGTAAGATAATAGTTACTTTAGGACCCCTCAGATTTATCTTGTGATCGTTTGAGGCAGTCCGACCCTAAGCTGGAAACCACTGTACTAAACTACTATAGATAGTTAGAATTTAGTTTTTCTAATCTAGTTTTTTCTTGCCAATACTTCATCTGGACTGCATACAGGACGACTACTAATGTTGTTTTCACATAGTTGTATTTCTGCTTCTATTAATCGACTGTTTCATTGTTTTCCTTCATATCTATTTCCTTTTTCTTTCAGGAGGTCAAGAAACAAGAATAATTTCCTTGACAAGAGGAAGAAGCTTCAATACTTCAAAACAATGACATAATAAATCATTGTCTCATTCCGTCTGTGCTAGCTGTTGGCATTTTATTTTACTACTGCAACTAAGTACGTTTATTGAAGAACTGTATTTGAATACTTTAGTTTTATGCTATTTTACACTTTCATTACATTTCAGAGAGAAATGTCAGACTTAGGGCACTACATTTACTTCACCACTATACGTAGTTTGCAGATAAACATTAAGCACCAGGCTGGTTAGTTGATTGATAAGGTGTTGAAGATGTAAAAAAAATAGTTCAAATTAGCAATTGTGGGCTTTTAAAAATATAATCTGTTTTAAAGCAGTACCCGCAGATGTATCCTGAAACACAACCACCAAGGAAAAATAGATTTTTCATTTATTAAGCAAAAATAACAACAGATGTAATATTCTTCTGTTGAAACATTAAGTACATCTTTGGACTCAGGAACCAGCATTTAGCAGAAATAACGTCTTTTATGTGTTTTGCATTATGCTCTGTCGGCTCGCTGTGATCTCTGACCACTCTTCTGTGCAAAATTCCCTCAGCTGCCAGATATTTGAGGGTTTTCTTGCCTGTTCTGTTTTAAATCACACACAACTTTTAAAGTGGATTCGAATCTGGGTTTGATTAAGGCCACTTCTGAGTCGCTCCTTTGTGGATTTGCTGTCTGCTCATTATCCTGTTTAAAGGTCCACTTCTGGTTCAGCTTCAAAATGTGGGACAGATGGTCTCTCATACAGAACGTATTGTTACATCAGTGGACATCTTTGTTTTCTTACATTGCAGATAAGACACCAATACCCTGATGTACTCTAAGTTTAAACAAACATTGAATACGTAAAGCTGCCCGGTCCCCGAGGCGGCGAAACAACCTCGAACCAGAACATTTCCCCTAAAATGCTTCACAGTGGGAGGTCCTTCTCCTGTCTGCTGTTGCTGAACAGCTCTATCTGTGACTCATCTCTCCAGAACACATCATTCCAAAATGCTTTCTGGTTAACAAAAGGCTTGTATTCCTGGCACACCCACCATGCAGGTCAGACTTGTACCACTGTAGACACCTGCACATCCTGTTTCTTTGAGACCACTTTTTCGTGACTGAATTTGCTGGGGCGCCCAGTTCTGGACAAATTGGCAGCAACTCGTAATCTACACCACTTACAGATGATTTTCCTCAAAGTCGAACAATTTACTTCAAATCACTCAGGGGAATCTTTCCAAATCCCTTGCCAGAGCCATCCACAACCTTTTTTTTTTTGTCTCTGAAGGCCTTAGAGAGATTGTTAGATCTTGGCACCATGCAGCTCAACAGCAAAGAGAACAGCAGATTAGAGTTTCAGGGGTTTAATTCGACGGGTTGCACCTGTCAGGCGCTAAGGAAGCTCTGATCATTGACCTCTAGAGCACCTGTGTGGTAAATGTTTTCATAACTTATAATTCCTAAAAAATGTAGCACTTGTACTTTATCTTTCCATAGAATGTGATGTTCTTTAAATTTGTGTAAATAATGAAAATTATTATGAAATGTCAATTTTATGTGTCGTCTCTTTGAGTGTATCATCTTTATTAATGGGCACTGATTCAAACAGGATACGATATTCACTTCAGCAAATATGTAAAAACAAACAAACAAACAAACAAACAATAATATGACAATAAAGCTACAGTACAGTTAGAAGTTTTGTCCATCAATTCTAAATTAATTGGGGGTACCGAAAATGTGTTTAAACAAAAAAAGGTGCATGTTTTAGCTAACATTTGTGTTGCAGTTAAAGTCAGAACAAGGATAAAATTATGACAAAGTTAATAATATGCAAAAAGTTAGTATTGATCTAAAGGACTCATGAGGTTAGATAACACCACATCTTCCTCTTGTGAAGATTTGACAGTTGGTTTTATAATGCTGTAGTCAGGATTATGATGTTTACTTTATAAACTGGTTCACTTAAGCATACTTCCGGTTTACATATAATAATAATAAATAATAATAATAATAATAACAATATATTAATAACAACCCGCATTCTTATTATGATTATGATAATTATTGTGATTATTATTATTTATTTATTTAAAAATAGACACATCGGTACTTCAGGGGGCGTCTTCCACCAGTTAACCTTTTCCACCACCGACCCAAACGCACCACAGCTGCGGCCAGCAGGCGGCGCCAGACGACCGTCTAACAATCAGCGGGGAGCGTATTGATTTCCAGCATTTGGGGATTTTTGTTACACAAACTAATTGACAAACTGAGCACAACTATAATTAGCGCGCGGCGGAGGAACACAGCGGCGTAATGACGCGTAAACAAGTCACGAGCCACGGCGCTAATATGTGGGTCAAACACGTGCGATTGGGTTAATTTAAATGGCAACACCTGATGTGAATGTTTCACATATTTACATAAAATACTCTGATTACATTGTGTGGCGACATGCCGACGCTGCTCCGCGGTGCGTTTGATTTAATCGTGATTTGTTCGCTTTTAATATGCGGTATTTTTTTTTTTTTTTAATTTTTTTTTTTTTTTAACATTAACACGCCCACAGCGCAGAATTACGAGCATAAACAACGCGGTCGTAAAAGTTGAACTTATTAAACTTGCCCCGGTGGGTTACTCGAAACTCTTCTCGTCGCCCTCCCCGTCGACGTTACGTACGCAGCCGTGGCGTGCCTGCAAGCCAAATAACATGGAGTCCTCTGCCTGGCATCTCCAAGGGATCCATGCAAAGACCTGAGCAGCGGTTCAAAACGCCAACTTTTTGTCCATGGGAGCAGTCCGAGCCTCTTGCGAGCATCGTCGCGGGACGTAAAGCTTCAGCTCCGTCCTCAAACTATGACGAACGGCGCTTAGAAGAGGCAGCCTTCCCCCCTCTGCGATCCGCAAACCAGGCCGATTTCAGTGAGTATTTGCACTAAAAAAAAAAAAAAAAAAAAAAAGAAGCCTGCAGTTTCTGGGCGTTCTGGGTCTAAAAGGCAAGTGTGCATGGATGCGTTTGTTGTTCCGATCACCTGACAGCAAGCGGATCGATCGGAGCCCCACGTCCTCTGAAGCAGCAGAGGCCAAGCCGTGGGACACCTTGATGCACCCGGGCAGCGTTTTCCTGCTTCTGAAGGGGGGGCAGCAGGAGAGGACACGGGCCTGGATAGAAAGGCCACTTATTTATGTAACCATTCAGGCGGCCCATTTCATTCTTTAAGACCAGACATGTTGTGAAAATAGGTCAGACAGTCCGAAAACTGCAGCTGGCACCACACACACACCAAATAAGAGCAGAGAGGACATCCAGAGCATGACACATCCTGCAGATTGGAGCTCTTCATGCTTTCATGGATTACAATCTGCAAAGTTTTTAAAGTTTCACACCCCCAAAACTTCCATGTTTCCAGAAGGAGAGGGAGGCTGCACCATGTAGGCGGGCTGGTCGCCAGCGGGACTCCATACTGCTCTCTGGGGGGGACCATGGAGCCAGAAGGGCAGCCCCTAACCCCAGGGACCAGCTATGGGCCCCCAGCCTTCAACTCAGCACAAAACCCGGTCAGCCCCACCTTCCTCAACTGCACCTTAGAGGTACCACTTTTATTTTTTTCCCCCCACTCTTATCATTTCCGTCGTCCTGCAATAACTCATCTTCATTCTGCCCCCCCAACTAGTCCTCATGTTCTCCAAACCTGAGAGACGGCCTGATGCCTGGCAAACGCCCGTGGGGCCCCGCTGGTGTAGACGAGTCCTCCGAGCCCACTGAAGGCCCTCAGCTCGAGTCAGGGAGGAGTGCACAGAGGAAATTCAAGTCCTCAGCCTTCCCTTCCTCCCTAAGCTGGGACTCTGACTCTGAGAAGGAAACGATAGATGGTAACGTACACATTGGAAACCTGTTGCACACATCTCCAGAGCAGTGCAGGAGTGCAGTTCTGAATTCAGCTAATACTCTGCCTAATGCATCATCACCGCCGTCCCCTCGACCCCTCGCTGTTTTCTTCTTTAAATGTCTTTTCCAGTCTGATTGCGGTCACCAGTCTCTCATCTCGCTCTCTATGTAGCCCCGGTATGCACAGATGGTTTTAACTGTGGATTTTACCTGTTGAGCCGTGAAGTGATGTTCCTGTGGTTGTGTGTTTTGTGTGCTGTTACGCGTCAGAGGAGGAGCTACAGAACTTTTCTAACCCTCACGGTCTGGCTGCTCACAGCCCAGGATCTCCTTCTTCTGGACTCAGGTGAGGAGGAGGAGGAGGAAGAGTAGAAAAGAAAAAAAAATCACAGTTTGTTAAGTTTGGAGCATCATAGCCAGGATTTTTTTTGCAATACTGAGGTCATGACATTTACTGTCCCCAGATTTCTGACAACAACAGAAACACATTTTAAAAAATTAATTTGCTCAGTTCTTCTACATCTGGACAAGTTATTTCCTTGGAAATTAGCAAAACAAAGTGAAAGCAACAGTTTAAAATGAGGGAATATGCTTGTTAACTTTCTGGCTTGCAGTTAGATGAGAAAAATCATCTCATGTCAGTAAAATAAACATGAAGCTGCAGCGTAAACATTGTAAGTTAAAGAATCCTGAATAGAAATCTGTGGGAGCCAAACATGGCGGCTGGATGACACATGTCCCGCCCCTCTCTGCTAAAAGCCAATCGTCTGCTTCGAAAAGGCCGAACCCAAAACATCCAGCCAATCGTGTTGCTGCACTGACACAAGCCCATTGTTAGCATGTTGTGTACACGTGCAGCATAATTAACACAATTTGGGCTTTAATTTGAGGCAAAGTCAGCCAACTTAAAACCACTAAAAGTGTAGTTAGGTCCTGTGTTTGTCTGTAGCATCTTCCAAGATGGCCACCGTGTGGCAAGAACCATCTGTAGGGACTTTGGCTACAGCTGGTTAGCTTCGCAATAAAGTGGAAACAGCTGGCCAAGCTCTGTGTGAAGGTAATTACACCTGCCTAGCGACACCTGTAACTTTTGCTTAAGAGGATAATGTGTAGCTGTGTGGCTTTGTTGCATAATTTGTGGGGATCTGACTGCTATACAAATAAAAATATCAAGTGAGATAGCGCTAAGCTAGCTAGAAAGCTGTGTCTGTGGGAGTGTGTGTAGGCAGCTCTTAGCCAAGCTGTAATTGCGGTTTCCCTCTGTTTCCTGTCTTTATGCTTGGCTAATTATGCGAGTTATACACTTGTATGCAAATGTTTTGGCTCCCTGTAGGCACATATTCTGTTAATTTTTTGGGTGAGAAGACGTAAATAGAGTCCAAGCAGCAAACGGGGATTATAGAGATTATTTCCTTCTTAATGCTAATATTTTTACTTATTAAAAAGTTAAGGTTACTTATAGTTAAAGATCAAATCTGCAGTTTTAGAGAGAGATTGTTGGCATTTAGCTAGTTAGCATGTTTAGCTAGTTAGCATGTGCCTGTTTAGCTGTTCCTCTTGCTCCCACAGCGGCCTAATCGGTCCATGCCACTTTGTTTACCATGTACAGAGCCAGGATTGTATACCTACACCAGATTTCTTTTTTCTTTTATACACACAACAGACAGCTACCAGACTATGAGGAGATATTTACTGAATTTGACAAAGTGTTGTGGAATTGCATATTTTACTTTAAACCTGTGAAACAGTAATTGTTTTTAAAAATGAATTATCAAATACCAATTCAGAGCCTCTGTCACCACACTGGTATTTATTTGTCGGTAGCTGCTAGCTGATTGCTGCTTCGTAACTTTAGCTCTTAAAAAGTCAGCTGTTGTCTGTAGCTGTTAACTTACCCATATTACACAAACACAAAGTCTGACAACGCTGTGCTGGGTCCAGAAACTAAAGACAACCATCCAAAAATGAAAGCTCACCATCTTGTTTTGCCACAACGTTGTGCTGTACATTTTGCTACGAAAATATTTTGGTCCACAAACGGTCCGTATACGTTTGGTGTCTGTGCGGAGATCTTAAAGGACCAATACGTAGGATATAGCGATATCTAGTGGCAACTTGAAACCGACTGATTTCCTTTTCATGCGTATTGGGGTCATTGCTAAAAATTGAGAAAAGTCCTCTCTTGAGCTAGTGTTTGGTTCATCTGTTCTGGGCAGCTGTAGAACCCTGCAGATACAAAGGGCCTACTTGTGGATGATTATACACTGATTAAAAAGTTATTGTGTTCTGTTTCTGCCAATAGATTCTGCAAAATCCTACAAACTGAACCTTTAAATATGTACGTCAGTCTTTTGTATTCACCTGTATATTTGATGGACAGAAATTGGTAGTAATTCTTGGCGAGAAAGCAAATAAGTTTATTCCCTAAAATGTTGAACTCTTGCTTTCACAAAACTGAGCTCTACTTAAGTCTTCTCAGGAAACTTTATAGCAAATTAATGCAACTTTGGGTCCTCTGAAATATATCATTTCTGTTTCATTTCAAAGCCGTCTCTGTGCTGCCAGGAACAATATTATGCTGGAAAAATACTGAATCCCTAATTTATTTAGATGTCCTAAAAGTAGTCAACTTTAAATATAAAGAGTCCACAAACACTGGAATTAGCGTAAAATGTTCCCACCATGTGTTTATTTATAATTACACTACCCCTGGTTGGCTAAAACCAAAAAAAATCCCAGGAAAATATGTCGTCAGTGGTAGCTTTGGCTCCGAGAATAAGGACAACGAGGCCATGCATGATCTGTAATTTTCACTTATTCTAGAAAGAGATGCTGCTTTAAAATGTTTGTGTGTGACGTGTTTCTCTTCCTGCTGCTGTACAGACCTGATTGTGAAGATGACCGAGTACCCGAAAAAATGCAGCACTTCCATAGTAGGACTGAGACATCTTCCCCCGTGGAGGGGCACAAGGACAACAACGAGAGCACAAAGAAAGAGGAGCCAAAAACATCTCAGCTTGGCCAAACAGAATGTAAGCGCCATAAGGAGGAAACTAAATCTGCTTGCACACTTGATATCTCTCTTTTTTATCTCTCCTTTCATTCAGAATTGCTCTGCTTCCTTCACAGTGGCAGACAGCAAAGTCTGGAATGTATCAAAGGGAGCTGAGCCATTTCTGTCCAAAGTAAAACCAAAGGAAGGTTGCCAAATGGAGGAGGAGGCGGACAACGGTGACGGAGAGAAAAGGCCCAAGGGAAAGGAAACCAAGGAGCCGGAGAGAGATGTGTACACCTTCCCTGGAGACTCAGATCCAGAGAGTCCCCCTCCTGCCCCCTGGGCTCATTGCACATTCATTCAGCGGTGCAGAAAGAAGAGGGTGCTGCTCAGGCCCTTCTCCGGACTTGGCACCCTGAAGCGCACATCGCCTGAGACTGGCAAGTTAGCAAGACTGAGTCCTCAGAAATCCAAAACCGCTGAGACCGCACAGCTGAGTCGAGGTGGAGGGGTTTATGATTTTGAGGAGGTTAGCTTTGGAGACGGAGACGTGGAGCCGATAAAGTTCAGAGGCAGAGGTGGGACAAAAAGAGACAAAGAGCAGGAAGAAGAAGAAAGCGAGTTGGAGCCAGGCAAAGATATCTTCACCTGCGTGGAGTGTAGCATTTACTTCAAAAAGCAGGTCCACTTGCAGGAGCACATGGTCGAGCACTGTCAGACCGGCGCAGGCGGCGGACGGCGTGTCGGAAAAGGCGGTCGTTTCAGGTGCGTTGAGTGTGGATGGAATCTGCCGAACCGACTCGCGCTGGCGGACCACCACAGAAAGCACCAGGAGTCCCGTCTGAAGATCCTGGAGGAGATTGAGAAACTGAATGAAAACGGGAAGGCGAGAGAAATTCAGACACTGGACAGTAAGGTAGTGAAGCATATAAGCGCAGACCCAGAAACGGTTAAATCTCCACCTCTGTCCCCGGCAGCACCAGTTTCTACTCCGGACACAGACCCTGCAGTCCTCGACATAGACTCAACTCCGCCAAATTCAGTTCGAACCCCAGCTCAGGCCCGAGCCGTCTCTGCCTACCGCCGCCGCTTCGTCTGCACCAAGTGTAACTTCAGCACAAGAACATCCCAGGCACTGGCTAATCACTCCAAGACCCACAACAGAAAAAAGCCCACTCTCCAGCCTGACTCTCCGTCTCCTGGTTCACCCTCAAGTGTGGCATCCACTTCCCTGGCCTGCGGTCACTGTGCCTTCATGACCTCAAGTCAAAGCATACTGAGGGAACACCAGACGCTTGTTCACCCAGGACAGGTGGCCGCCAGCGGGGCACAGGACGATGAGACCGGCCAGCGTTCACGGTCCAACGGAGGAGCGAGAGTTTCAAAACCCACCGCAGATTCTGATTCAGGATCCCCGCCTGATGCAGATCAAGGCAAAAGCCAGCAAGGAGCCTCTGAGGACAGCACAACACCAGACAGCGCGGCAGCTCGGCCCGCCAGCCAGGCGGTCTACAAGTGTGCCGGGAACAGGAGATTCAGCCGAAGAGGGAAGACTTGGACGGATCTCACCAAGTTTGATTCGGTGATGGATGATGACAAGCTGCCTGGGAGCGAAGAGGAAGAGCAGGACCAAGATCAGAGCAGAGAGCTTAGCAGTGAGCTGTCCCAGCAGGAGGCAAATTCACCTGTGGGAGTGAAACCGCACACCAGAGCGCGAGCCAACATAGGTGAGACTAAAAGGCAAAATAAAGACTCACATATCCAACTTAGACTTTTAGGCAAAGTCACCTTTTTACTTGATTTATACTCAAGCTGGTACGCCACCCAAATTATGCATCAGTGATAACATACAAATGCACATGAAAAAAATGAAATTGAAGAAATTGAATGAGACATTACTTTGATTACTCCAAGCATAATTTACACACTTTATGTTCATAGCTTTGTTTTAAAGTTGCACTAAAAACGAGCTCATACAGAAAGTATTAAAGCTGCACTACATTATTTGTTTTTTTTTCCTTATAACACTTCATTGGTTGACTATATGATATGTGAAAGGTGTTGCTTGTGATGAGTAACTCCCAAATATGATTCCTGACTCCTTTTTAGCTCAATGTTTTGATTTTACAGCCCACAACTGTACTGGTTTGGTTCACTCTCACAGCTCTCGTAGTGTTTTTCTAAAGCTCTGTTAAAGCCTCTGTATGCTACCTGCCCATCAACTAATAGTTAGCATCGTGGTTATTACATAGTGAAACATTCAGGCACTTGTTTTCCTCACAGGGTGGTGGAGACCAAAAACGGAGCAAAAACAAGAGTCTCAAATTTACATTCTCCAGTGGACTTAAACGTGACTCTAAATGAATAATTATCGTGCCCCATGTTTCCTAGATGTGCAAATAAGTTTGCTAACTACCATTGACAACTTTATCAGACGATAATGTGCCTGCAGAATGTATTCCTACATCGATATTACAGCACCATGTTGCAGAATTCTGTTTTTTATGCCCTGAAAATGTAAATGTGGTGACGATTTTGAGTCCCTATGTTTGAAAGCATGGCAGTGATAAATACAAAAGTCAGGGAATACTCTTGAATTTTAATGAACTGATAGTTTTTTATGAATATTCACTCAATTCAGACTTTATTGAGGACATACCTCTACAGTAAGCAGATTTTCTTCGGTGTCCTGAATCACCACAGTAAAAAAACACTCGTTCAAAAGATTTGTTCACCGACTCGTTCAGTTCTGACCGAAAGTCTGAACGCGTCGTCTCGTTCTGTGAACTGAAATACAGCTTAAAGGGGTTTATTCCCCATGATCCCGGCCTTCCAGAACCGCAAGTGCTGTCGCTTTGACAAACAACTCTATTTGTATTTTTTAAATATTTTAAACTATCCCGACTAAATAGCAGAGATGAATGGTGGGTTTTAATTACTTTTATGCCTTTGCGGCTGATAACGTGCTGGGCCTGATTCCAGCAGTTTGAGCCTCCGACCAGATCTATCACTCACGGCTGGTGTGATATGTTCAGCGAGTCTTTTCCTCACATTGCAGCTGCTGCAGCAGCAGTGTGTCTCTTTCTGCATTTTCCCCTCACACAGCCCAACATTTCGAGTTTGTGTTTTTGGAAGTCTGTTAAAACAATGGGGAACCGGAAGGTGTGTGTTTGTGTTCGTGGCAAGGTTGCCAACTTTCGGCTAGCCTACCAGCTGGAGTGCGAGTCGGAGAAGGTAGATGGGAGGAGGGGGGTAATTTGGGAGACCGAAATAGCCCAGGAGAAGAGATGCTGCTGTGGTGTGTTTGAGGGATGAAAAAAAAAAGTTCACCTATAGGCCAGACCTGCATGGTTTATTTATGATTTCAACACAGGAAAATTCTGTCCGTGTGTGATGATAATTTCTCTAACTACAGCCACTTACGGTGCATCAAAAAGCATCTCTGTTGTTGCGCGGCTACCCGGTGCCGTATTGTGGTAGTTGGTTTAATGATCGTGTTCTATATGTGGTTATAGAAATGCATCGCAACAGGACCGTGTCACCACTGCAGATATCCAGCTGTGAGACTGTGAAGCTGAAAAACCTCTAAGAGAGAAACTTGATATGACAGAAGAATATTTTCGCCTTCGTAAACAGATCAGACTTTTAAAGGAAAGTAATATTCTGGCAGCCGTGATGGAGCTCTGGAGATGGTCACTACAGACCAAATGTTAGGTTGTAAAGTATGACAGCTTGCCTGATCAGTTCTGCCACCATGTTGGAGATAATTTATCTAATCAATTAATAAAGCCACTGCTGTTTTACCACATGCATAAATGAATCCTGCTTCCGTCTGATGCTGCTGGAATTTAAAAAACCTCCAACAAACAGCTGGAAGCAACAAACAAAACCTCAGCTGCTGTTAACGTTTCGTTGGATTACATTTATTAGTGGGGAGTCTCGTTAATCTAATCTGCCACATACATAACTCTGTCCTCAGGAGTTCTGCTCTTATGGGCAGTTTAGTTTGTAGTAGATGTGGAATTTTACAGAAACGTGAGAGAGGTTCGTGTGTGTGCGCCTTTCAGCGACTAAAAGCCCACAAACTGTACCTTTAGTGCTCTCTGTGATGTTTATGGACCAGTATTGGTGCAGGAATGTGGAAAAAGCCAAATGTTCACCCTTAATGTTGTGTGCAGACAAAAGCCTGTCTAACTTATAGAACACTTTATTCACATGTTTTGAGGCTTGCCGTGAGAAAACAGCCCGAAAAGCGAGTGTCTCACGCCGACGTGTGAGAGTTGGCGACCCTGCAGCGGTGGTTTGTGAGCGTAGCCAGGTGAGGAATTAGGCCACCGACTTTCTTGCGCTAACTCCGGGCTACATTAGCCTTTAGCGCGGTGAGAAGAATGGCCTCTATGTGAGTGTGTCCCCGCGAACGAATCAATGACTCGAAGCCGCTCGCTCGGTGAGTGAGTGTATCCCCGCAGACTGAGAGCTCAACTGAACTGAGAAATAAACGGATCAGGAGTGATTCAGTTCGTTCACGCAAAAATCTGTTGTTTATGACTTTTTTTGGGTGGGGGAAAGGGTTTTTTGCCTTTTTATTTGATAGGGACAGTGTAGAGAGACAAGAAGTGTGAAGAAGAGGAGTGAGATGCAGTAAATGGTTCAAACTGGGAATTGAACCCAGGATGTGCCCATATGGTGTTCCAACCGCTCGGCTACTGGGTTGCCCCAAAAGATCAGTATTTTTTAAACAGATCATTCACAACTCCAGCTCGTAGCGAGTCGATTGAACTGAGAGTTCTGTTTGGCTTCTTATGTTTCGTTACTATCCAAGATGTCAGCAACTACCTTGATGGAGTGTCATTATTATGAATAGGAAAGATGGATAATTGTGCAAATATTTACCCCCCAATATGCCGAGATCAGGTTTTTGGGGTGACCGGAGACGGACTTTCGGAAGTGACTTGAGCCAGTCAGAGTCAGAACTCCTCTACAGATCTCTACAGGAATTCTTGTCCACATTCGGTGCTGTTTCAGTTTGATTTGTTGGTTATTTGTCTCATTCTGAGGGCTTTTTCTTCTCGACAGATGACAGTTCATCACAGCAGAGTCCTACACTGTCGCTGCCCCCTAAGAAGAGCGTAAAGGACGAGGACAAGCAGGAACTGGAGAAGGATGGAAAGGTTTTCTTTTTGAGGAGGAGCGCCAGGGTTACTGCTGCCCCTGCAGAAATTGACAGTGACGATGACGACGACGACATTGACGAGGAACGCGTGCGACGTTTCCTGTCAGAGGGCATCTTGGATGAAGACAAAGATGAGATTGATGAGGACGCCGAGGCACTGAAGAGTGTGGAGAGGAAATGCCCCTACTGCCCCGATCGATTTCATAATGGAATTGGGCTTGCCAATCACGTGAGAGGCCACCTGAACCGGGTGGGCGTCAGCTACAATGTGCGTCACTTCATATCCCCCGAGGAGGTCAATGCGATTGAGAAGAAGTTTTCCTATCAGAAGAAGAAAAAAAAAGGTCAGCGGCTTGTTGCATGCGTTTCTTCAGATTTGCAGTCCCATCTCTTCGTTGTCCTCGTCTGACACCACACTCAGAATAATAAAACTCATATAGATATTCTTTTACATACCCTTTTGAACTCCAGTAAAGCATTTTTTTTGGTTTATGTGTTGCTGTATGTGTTGTCGACATGCTTGGAACACGTGATGCATTTTGAAGGGATTTCCATAATGTAAAGCAGTCGTTCCCAACCTGAGGCTGAGGAGTATTCAAATTTAAATTATTCAAATTATACAGGGAAGGGGAGGAGTTGCGTAAGGCCGACAGCAGTCTGCATGTTGATGTCATCGTATACTGTGTAGCTGTTGTGACGTCCGTTCTTATATACAGTAGTATATAGTACTTGTAGTACTTGTACGCATTTCAGATGGACTAAATGTTCATATCTTGCAATCCATATGACAAAAAACAACAGCTGTAAGAGTGATAACTGTTCAGAAGTCTGTATATGCATTTAAAACTGCCGTGCAGAGTTTTAGTGACCGAGTTGTATTTTGTACACCAACGCCAACATGGCTAACTGTTTTAGTGGAGGGACGCTATGATGTAGTAGACAGTGATGCCTTGAGCTCAGTATTAATCCCAGCATGCAAACCAATTTAGAATTTAGGCTGTATGTAAATGAAGGATGTGGCCTCTGGGTTTGAAAAGTGAATTCAATGCAGAAGTGCTTAAAACCTGCATTCTTTCTTACAGCCAGCAGGAGGCGACAAAACAAAGCTTGATTGTATAAAAGTCTATGAGAAAATGAGCCAACTTCTAACTTGATTTGTTACCTCAGTGAACCTTTTCTGAATGAGTTCATGGTCTTAGTTGCTAGTTTCGAGCCTCCTTCAATATCTCGTGATATTCATTTTGTGCATTATGGTGTCATTTGGAGTAAAATAAATGATAAAGCAGCTTGTGTTTTAGGGCAACCTTGTGAATGACGGGGTGCTACCATATTGTCAAGTCCTCGAGTTCTCAGTCAGATCCACGTCTGAATTGTCAAGTCCAAGAACAAAATGACGACAGCTACATATGCTTCTGTCAGAACTATAGTCAACAAACCAGTGGGTCAACCAAGGTCACTAATTTTGCGAACCAAAATCACAAGACATTTTACTCAAAAGCACAAATCAGCAAGAGGTGCTTGAGGACAGGTCAGGGGATTATTCGGGTTCGTCCTCTGGTTACCATGAGTGGAAGTTTCACAACCCACAAAGTAGTGAACCGACCGACTGACCCAATGATGCCATGTGTCTTCTTACATGGCACAGATTGGGGGTAACCACTGGTATACTACCGTTCTTCGCATTCAGTCCCGCGGCTAAACATTTCTTTCTCCTTAGTTGCCAACTTCGACCCGGACACCTTCAGCGTGATGCACTGCGAGTTCTGCAGCGCCGGCTTCGACACCCGGGCCGGCCTGTCCAGCCATGCCCGCGCCCACCTCCGCGACTTTGGCATCACCAACTGGGACGTCACCATCTCCCCCATCCACATCCTGAGGGAGCTGTTCTCCAGCAGGCCCGACCTCGTGATCCCCACGGCTCCCCCTCGGAGCTCTCCAGACGAGGAAGACGAAGAAGAAGAAGAAGAGGAGGAGGAGGAGGAGGATGAAGAGGAGGAAGAAGAGGAGAAAGACTTTGGCGAGGAAGGGGAGGGAATCATTGAGGTAAAGCTGGAGGGGGAGACGAGTGAAAGGACGCTGAGTGCTGCCGCCGTCGCTGATGCACCGCCTTCAGCATCTCCACAGTGGAAGAAGAAAGAGGAGCCTGAAGGTAAGTTTTTCTTATTGACTTTTATGAGAAGGGCTGAGTGAAGATGGACTTTACTTTTGGCTTGTTGTGCTGCTGGCTTTGATTACCTGGTGATCCTTGCAGTGTTTGGTGCTTTGTAGTTATAGCAGGAGGTGATTATTATTAGTAGTAGTGGTGGAGAAATGTGACTTGAGATGCTGTCAGTTTTGTTTGAGGATGTCTGGTTGCTTTTTTTTCTTCTTGCTATAAAAAATAAAATTACAAAAAAGCCCCGCCGCTGTGTGAAGTGTTGGAATCGGGATGTTAGAGGGGAAATAATAAGTGTGTGTGTGTTGTGGAGAGTGAGAGTGAGAGAGTCCCCTGATGCCCAATGGTTGATGTGGCACACGGTGCATTTATCCCAACCTCCGCCTCCACTCGATTGGTCACGCCTTAGCTTAGCGGTGCATATGGGGGCAAAATGGCTGCTTCCACCTCCCCGCAGACCCAAACAATAGCGGAAAAACTGTCTGGCTTCAGCTGCCGGGAGTCCGATGCACTGCGGCTGCGGACCGGTGAGTAAAAAATCCCCCCGCGCGCTGCTAATTCCCGAGCACCCGCGTGCCCTCGGATCGCACGAGCGGCGTCGCGCTTGCACGTCTCTCTCTCTCTCTCTCTCTCGCGCCGCATCTTCTACTTCACAGCGTTTTGTATCCGGAACAAAACTGCCATTAAAAAAAAAAGAGAGAGAAAGAGAGAAAGAAAAGAAAGAAAAGTATTTAATAAAGAGAACGAGAGTCGCCGCCGCCGCCGCTGCTGCCGGAGCCACGCTGGGAGCCCTCATGACAAGCATGTCAAGAGCTCATAAAGCGGCTCATTGTTGTTGTTCTTCTCATAAACTGAAGGCTGATTTTCTTTCCCCCCCTCTCTCTCTGTATCGTCCCCCCCTCCTCCTCCTCTCCAACACCACCTCTCATATTCTTGTTCCAGTTTTTTTTTTTTCCCCTTATTGTCTCCAATGACGTCCAGTATTCTCACTGCTGCTGCAGGATCTCTAAAATTACCTACAGTTGCCCAATCCTCGCCATTTTACTTTTGCTTTGATTTTTGATAGAGGACACGCTGTGCTTTCAAGTGCACGCGTTTTTGTGCAATAAACTGACAGTGGTACTGGCTCGGGGGGAACGTGGTAACTTTGCGAAAGTAATCAGTAATCCTATTACAACTTATCAACCAAGTTTTTTTTTTTTTTTTCTTACTCATCGGCTCTTGTGTTTCTGCCCGAATCTGCTGCTGCTACTTCTTCTTCTTCTTCTTCGCTGCTCCGGGTTTTTTTTTTTTTTCCTTTTCTTTCTTTCCTCCCCCCTAAATGACTGATTGATTATTTCGTATTGTTCCTCATTCTAATAAATGGTGTTATAACGCTGCGCTCCGAGGTGTCACATCGCCGCTCTTTTACAGTCAAGAGATGAACTGACAAGCGCAGAGCCGCCCACCAGACAAAAAGCATTGTCTGTCTCCACGTCTCTTTTGATTTACCGATTTGTCGCAGAAAATGGCACTTTTGTCCCAGGAATGCCTGACTGCGGGGAACCGAGACTGCCGTGTTTGTTTCATACAGTAGTGCAATTATGACTTTCTGACAGGAATTCATTACTTGAAATCATTTTCATGTAGATTCGCCTCAAAGGAGGACGTTTGTGATGCTCTGCTATTAACAAGGACTGAGAGATTACAGGCAGTGAGCTGAGTTGATTTTCCTGCTCACAGCCTGCGTCTTTTATCCACTAGTGTGCACACAGGGGTTGTTGGCAATTTTGCATTCATGTGAGGTTCATCTCCACAGACATCATTTGTCACAAGGTAATTTTGTCATCATTAATTAACCTAATTAACGTGGAATTCCTGCACTCAGTGATTGTGTTGTGTGTGTGTTTTTTATTTTTAATTTTTTTCATAAGGTGATGACGAGGAGGCGGCCGAGGAAGACGATGAGGAGGACTTGCAGCTTTCGGCTCTGAGCTCGAGTCCCGGGAAACCAGGGCTGTGCGGCGCCAACACAGACAGCCTCTCTCCCGGGGAGGATGCAGACACCAAGGGTGAGGCGGAGGAATATGGGAATGCTTGACCCCGGAGTGTTGACAAGGGATTGGATTTGCTACAGCCGAGCCTTATCGCGGCTGTCAGTGGGGAAAATTGTAAAAGTGACCTCGGGTCGTGGAGACGCTACACCAGAGAGGGTTGCCCCCTCCCCGAGGGAAATCCCTCAGAGGTAGACAAATGCGTTTAGGGGCTAATATGAGCACCTCTAGCACTGTGCCAGTGTTACTGCAGGCTGGGTGAAGATGTAGACAGGGAGGGTAAGTGAGGTGAGGCGTCTGCTGGGATATCTGTGGCCTCTAGAAGAACCTGAGCCACCTGCTGTTGCTTCTCAGTCTTTCTGCTGTTGCTTCAGTTAGTTAAGACAAAGAATGCATGAATGGGATGGTTGAAGTAGAGATGCGTTATAGCTTTCTTTCTTTCGGCGGCGTGTTCGTGTTGCGATATGAACATTTTACGCAGTAATTTTCACCAAATGACTCGAGTAACTATTTGGAAAGAATTCTAGATAATTGGGGACTTTTTGCTGCAGACTGCATCTGCATAGAAAATGTTTAAAAAGTGAGATACAACTTTTTACTGTGAGGATTTTGTGAGTGTGAATCTTTTCCCGCAGGCTGCACCATATTGGAAAAACAGATATTGTGATGTTTAGTCTTTCTACTATATATATTACGATGTGAAAAACTGCTTAGTAATTACAGCACGGGGATAAACTTATGCAAGATGCAGTCTGCAGCCCGGTGTCCACTTGTTCGGGGCGGCGCCCTTCATCATGTTCACTGCATTGCCTGGTCTTATACAGACTTGACACCTCGAGCAGCCGATGCTTCTTTTCATCCCATTTGTGCTGCTCTCACTTTTATGGTCATCTGGGAAAAATGCCATTTGCAAACAGTTGGAAGTACTCGTTGCTAAAGTGGACTGCGAGACGTATGTAGGGCTCCTCGAGTCTTTTTGTAGCTGCGTAGTTTCGACTTGCATTTTTCATCCAGCTCAGCGACGGTAACTTACAGGTGTGTGTCGGTGTTACGGACTGGAATCGTGCTTTTAAAAGCCTCTTTGGTAACGGTGTTAATTGGTGTCGTGCATTTTGCGAGGTGAAAATTTATTGCATCTGCGATCTCTGCCTTTTGGATTCTTTCTCGTATGGTTCAACGCCAGCAAACCACACAAAACTGTTTCCTCTTTTAGATGGCATTTAGATCCGGCTTTTGCACTCGTCATACAAAACTTTGGTTGGTGCCGATTTCAGCTGTCAAACAAGTTGTTGCTTCGTGTCGTGGTGACGATTGCAAGAAGCTGCTGACGGAGAACCTGTTGACGTCATCTGTCATGCAACCAAAATGATTTCTGTACCACTGATTTCTTCTTTGCAACCAAAGTGTTCCTCTCCCTTTCTTCACTCATTTTGCTGGGTTGTATTTGCACGTCAACAAACTCTGTGTCTTTAAAATGCAGTTTAAAAAAAAGCCAAGAATCCTTAAATCAGAGTAGCTGTGTTCCATCAGACAGAATCCTCTTGTAGATGAGGCATGAAGAATTGGAACTGTGCGAGTTTTCTTTTCATATCGAGCAGCACAAAAGTCGTAGCCTGATGTGTTTGAGTTAATTTGCCTCACTTCAAATTGCTCCTCCTGTGATGTGACTATTGAGCAACAGTAGGCTGTAGTTTGACATGTGTTTAATATTTATAAGGTGATTCCTGTTACCAAGTCTTATAATGTCTCTCATTAGCTTTTTCTTGCCTCTGTTGCAGTCCACAACTTGAAGTGTGAGGTGTGCGACGCTCGGTTCGAGACCAGACGTGGACTCTCCAGCCACGCCCGCTCTCACCTGCGCCAGCTGGGCATCAACGTTTCGGAGAGCAGCGGGGCGCCCATCGACCTCCTCTACCAAATATCCAAGGAGCGCAACGTGGACGGCAAACTGAGCTCATCTCTTCTGGAGCCGCTTGCAGCCAAGAGCTCCCCTCCGTGTATTTCCCCGAAAGATGAGGAGCTAGACGACATGGACTTAGACGAGAAACCCATCCCCCTCTCCATCCTGGCCAAAGTGGCGAAAGCAGTGCCACCCTCGTCCTCCTCTACGCCAACACCTTCTCCTGGTGCCTCTCCAGCGCCGGCTCACTCTGGCTCGCCTTCCTCGGTGGTAAAGAAAGCCCCCATTTCCTCTTTACTGCCTGTGTCTTCCCCCTTGCGCTCTCCGGAGCACAAGGCCGGGGGAATGAAAAGCTTGACCAACCTGTCTGCCCCGGCCACCATGACAGCCACCAAACCGCTCTGGGCGCCGCAGGAGAATGACGCTCCTCTCAACCTCAGTAAGTGGCACCGCCTCACCGAAGTCCATTTCCAATAACTCTTCATTGTTCTTTTAAGTCCTACTTTACTTATTTCTTCTTCATTTGCAGCTCTGGAGGTAGACCCCACCAAGGACATTGTTTGTCAGCTGTGCGGCGCCTGGTTTGAGACTCGTAAAGGCTTATCGAGCCACGCGCGGGCCCACCTGCGGCACTTTGGGGTGGAGTACTCTGAATCCAAGGGCTCTCCCATCGACCTCCTGAACCAGCTCATCGACACCGACGACTTCAAGCACAAAGCCAGTGCACTGCAGCTCGACAGCCACACGGAGCCGCGGGGTCTCACCACCACCACCACCACCACGCTCTCCTCCCCAAAGCAACCCCTGCTGACGCTCTCCTCCTCTTCCTCTTCATCGCTCCTCTACAAGGTGACCACAAGCGGGAGTGGGTCTACGTCCAAAGCTACCTCTTCCTCTGCCTCGTCGTTACTTGGCCCACCTGCCAAGCGTCTCAAGTCCTCTTCCATGCAGGTCTTCCGCCTCAGCAGTGGGGAGCTCATGGCACTTCCACACAGTGAGTGTTGCTCCCAATGGACAGCCTGTTGTGCAATGCTTTGTCCGTTTCACACAACTGTTATAAACTTCTCGTCCCTCAGGTGAACCTCCAAAGGAAATAGGCTGTGAATTCTGCGGAGAATATTTCGAGAATCGCAAAGGGCTTTCCAGTCACGCCCGCTCCCACTTGCGCCAGATGGGCATCACCGAGTGGTCCGTCAACGGTTCCCCCATCGACACCCTGAGGGAGATCATCACAAGACGGGGTCTGCCTTGCGCCCTTCCCATAAAACCTCTCAAAACCCCTCCTCCATCCTCCCCGGGACCCCCTCGTTCCCCTCTGTCGGCTTCCTCGTCTCCTTCAGCCACCCTCCTCAGTCGCCTGCCCTTCGCGTTCGCCCGGCCCTCCAGCCCTCCTCAGTCTGCCGTGTCAAAGTCGAGCTCGGCTCAACCGACGTCCCCGAGTGGGCAGATTCTCAAGATGAAGCCGGAGCCGGTGCAGCTGGAAGTCACCGCGCCTGGAACTGTGGGGAGGTCTGGAGGCTTTTCTGCTGAATCTCTCAACTCCAGCTGGAGCAGCTCTGACAGCGTGTTCCCCCTCAACTTAGGTAACTTGAATTCAGTTTTATTTTTAGTGCTTATTTTAACGATTTAAAAGAAGTGTTTTGACATGTCAGGAACTGTATTTATTTACTCTCTTGCCGTGAGTGAGATGAGAAGGTGGACACCAGGCCGTTCTGGGTGTAAAATATCAAACAAAATCGGCAACAAGCTCTCGAGGACTTCTGAGGCTCTTTAGCTAACATGTTATATCTTGTTTGTTTAATTTTGAATTAACTGCAGTGCGGGAGGGTATGTTCTGAGCTATTTCTTGGCCAAGACCAGTTTCCAGGCAGCCAGCAGCAACTTGGTCGCAGCCAAGAAATAATCCTGTACATAACCCAGCATAAAACCATCATTTTGCACTTATGTTTTTGTACAAGTTTAAAAAAAACAAGACATCGCATGTTGATTTGTGCGCTTTAGAGGGGCTGTTGGGCAGATTTTGTCACCTTTGTTTTGAGCCAGGCTACCTGCCTCACTTTGCTTAAAAGTCTTTGTGCTCAGTTAAAGTGGCTGGTGGCAGAATGTAAATCTTCTCAAGTCAACTTTACCTGTGTGCAGGCTTCTACAACTTACCTGTAAATTCAAAGCTCTCAGTTGAAAGTTGTGGTTAAAACAACTATTCAGTGTTTTCTCCTGGTCTCTCGTCAGCCATGGCCCATGAAGTGGAGCCGACGAGGGATATTCGCTGTGAGTTCTGTGGGGAGTATTTTGAGAATCGTAAAGGGCTCTCCAGCCACGCCCGCTCCCACCTGCGGCAGATGGGCATCACGGAGTGGTCGGTCAACGGCTCGCCCATCGACACCCTGAGGGAGGTCATGCACAAGAGAGGGGTGGGCGGCTCCTCTCGCTCGGACCAGGGCGTGAAGAAGGAGTCGAGCCGTGGAGCCAACAGCCCTCTATGGGAGAACACGGGAGGCGCCAGCAGCTCAGAGGGTTTGGGCGTTTCGAGTTTTCAGTCCTCCAAGTTCCGTAAATCTCCTCTCAGTTTGCTGCAGTCGGGCTCCAGGCTCCATAAGCAGGGTTTGGGGTCCGTGGGATCATCTGCTACATCATCTGCAGGGAAGTTCTTCAGGATGTCTCCACTGGGGAAAAGGCCTCTGTCTGAGGAGGCCCAGTCAGTGGAGGCTGCCCACTCATCGCCACATCAGCTAAAGACTTTCTCACCCCTTCCACATGATTTCTCCTTCAAAAGAAAACCCTCTCCAGACAAGCACGGACACCAAGGTGAGTTGTTTTAGTTTTTCAGTTGCGCTGAATCCCATCTTGCATTAATTTTTAAACTTTTAGAAAGCTCTTCCCGTCACTCCTTACCTGTGTTTTGCAGATCCCAGTTGTGAACTGTGCGGCTTCTACTTTGAGAACCGCAAGGCTTTAGCCAGCCACGCGCGAGCCCACCTGCGGCAGTTCGGTGTGACTGAGTGGTGTGTAAATGGATCACCTATCGAGACGCTTAGCGCTTGGATGCGCAGCAGGCCTCAGAAGGTGTTGGAGATGCACCGGAGCTACATGCAGGGTAACCGCTCGACCCTCAAGAAGGTGAGGAGAGCCAGCCAGTCGTTGGTAATTCATTTTAGTGTAACAGCTCAGGTGTTTTTTTTAACGAACGGATCGAGCCGCTTGGTTTTCTGTTTGGCCGCTGGCACGTCGGCAAAATCTATTGTTGCTGCTGCGAATAGTTTTTTTCTTTTTTCCCCTCCACAGAAAAAAAAGGGGGAAAATATCAGTGGAAGAACTTGTGCCTCCACAAAAGCTAAACAGATATACAATAAAAGATCATAACCCACTGTGCTACTTTTCTGACACACTCACTTTCCTCTCAGTGTCTTTGAATAGGCGTCATGCTTGGAGATCTAACAAGCCTCAGCTGGTGGCACGACAGACATTTTGTGTCTTGGAAAGCTTCAGACGTGTTGTCTCACAGCTTTGAGCCTTACTGTAGATCCTGTGTCTTTACACCCAGCAAAAAAAATCACTGTGGGGACAGATGCCAGAACAACTCAGCTATTGACTTGGGTGTTGCCATAGTAACCAGGGTGCCTGGCAGCTTATGTTTCATCTTCAGATAAATTATGGCATGCTGTTGATAGAAGAAAATGTATGTTTTCTTTTTCTTTTTTTTTTTTCTTTTCCCCCTGCTGAATTAGTTTCTGGTGCATTTGCGTCACTGTCACACCTTTTCCCTGAGCTGTGATGTGACACACATACAGAATGGATTACCTTTTAAATGTCCTTGTAATCATATTGTAAAAGGTTTTTCATCCTGGAGAAGTGCACCCAACAAAGGAGTAGGTATTAGACTGTAAGGCTTGTATCTAAGCACCAAGTAGGTGAAGGTGGGCAAGATGAGAAATGGTATTAAAGCCAAAATCTTTAATTAATTACTCCACTGATTTGAAATTAAGCTGTTTTGATAGTTGATTTAAACATTCTTTTGTTCTCAATTAAGAGGAAGTGATGCTTTCATTTGTCTTATATGGTCGTGAGCTAATTGTGGTTAAGATTTAATGGTTGATTTTTAGGATATCTTGGAATTGTGATGGCAGGTTTTATACAACAAAACCATAAGTCGAGGAAATAACCAGCAAATTAATTGATTAACAAATTTATAGTTAGTTGTCAGGCTGCAAGTTAATGCCAGAAAGTCGATAAAAATGTCCATCACATTTTATCTTAAAACTCAAATACATTCAGTTTGGAAATGGTGTGAAATGGAGAAAAACAAAGTTAGTAGTTTGGTATTTTTTTTGCCTGTTAAACGAGTTTAAAGTCATCATTAGTATCTTTTTTCAGGACATGAGTCATTAACGGTTTCAGCTGTCGTTAAGTCAAAAGTAGTTGAATGCTATTTATAATTTAGTATTTTCATATCTTATGTAATGTGTATTCATACCCTCGAAATGAAAAAACGTAAGAATATGAACTAGTGAGTAGGTGAACTGAGGAAACTCTGAAGAAAGTTCATTTCAGGTCATTTACATGCACTTAACACAAACTTGAGCGCTCAGACGTTCCTTAAAGCCCCGCACGCCCACACAGGTGTTTTTGTTCTGGCTGATTAGACGTCTCCTCGGGGTGGAGCAGAGCTGGAAGTCGTGTGACGCGGCCTCACTACTAATAAGAGTGATAAAATTAGCAAGGAAGGTGTCCGTCAGCCTTAGTCCTGAGAGGGGTAAATAATAACCCCGGTGTGCTGGAATAGATCGCTTCATATTCACATAATGCGGCCTTCACCTTTTTTGTT